CAGGGTCCTCAAGGATGCTGCGTCACCTCACGAGCCATGCTGGCGCCCCCAGAATGACTTCGGGGCGTCGACACGCAGCACCCACGCCCCACCTGCAGGGCTTCCTGGAATCCCACCACCTCGCCTCCACTGTTCTTACCAACTCTCTCCTCAACGAAATGGAGGAGATTTTTTGTTCGCTTCTGTCCTTTCTCAGTGACAAATGGATAGTGCGGGAGCACATTGGCTTTTGAAAAATTCCATTTCCTGTCCCAGAAGGAATTTTAAGTGGAAAAGGATGGAGGGCATTAACTTCCGTTTCATATTTCATATGTGCTTGAACTTTTGCCATATCAGCACGGGAGGGCATTTCCCATGAGGATTTGCCGTGGCTCGCCAGGAATTAGGAGTCTTGTCTGTAGAATACTCCCCTGCGCATGCTCAGTGCTTGTGGCGCGTGTGTGATCATTACGCCATAATACTGGCACAACATCCACTCCAGAGTGATGGTCAAGAATCCCGACACATACTAAAACTGTTCCAAACTGTCTAAATACCAGACAGTGTCGTCATTCCAGAGTTCAGCTGCTAAAGGGTCAGACTATGTGACAGACTTAAATTCCACTGAGGAGCTTTAGCATGTTGGAGAACATGACCGTGACTTACTGAATGCCAACTACTGAACTTGCAATGAATACAAGATGGACAGTGTATTCGAAACAGAACTTTATGGCCCCTGGAAGACAGGAATGTTGTGAATAAAAGCACTCCTCCTAATCTTATTTAAAAATCTTATGTATTGACAATGTATAAAATGCTTCCATGAACATTCATTTTATTGCCAGGTCAAAACTTAGAATGACTAAATGAACACACACACACACACACACACACAGCTCCATTCCTCATTTTCTTTGTAATTTTGGAGAAAGGAGACTTTCATTGCAAACCCATATCTGGGAGCACATCTCCCAAGGACTTCTAATGAATGCAATTTCATTGGAACATATTGAATATACAATATTAAGTATATAAAATAGTGACATGATGCCACCTTCCTCACTTGAAATTTTTGATTTTAAGAATCTGATAATGGATGGTAATAAGAAAAATACAATCTCAAAGAAATTATGAGATGCCTAGTTATGAACCATATTTAACTCCTCATACCTACGGGACATGGAGAATTTCTGTAAGTTTAGGTGTATAGAGGAAAAGAATTAAAAAGAATCTCAGTGCCACAGAATGGTTCTCAACAATGATGACTTACTTTTCAAAAATACTTCTCGAATAAGGAATAAGAGCTAAAATAAAAAAGGGGGGAAGACATGTTCAGTAGTAAGAAATATTTTGGTCTTTGTAGAAGTCACTAGTGTCTTTGTCTCGAGCTAGAGTAGCAGCCGTAAATCACCAAACAAATTGTAATGGCTTCGAGTCGTGACACTTTCCTTAGCTTAGACCAATGTAGCCACAGTGTTCTCCAGAGTGTTCTGATGAATTCCATGAACACACACACACACACACACACACGTATGAAACTTGCTGTTCTCTGTTACCAACTAAACAAACTTCTATAATACACGTTTATCCTTTTGCCTGATTTCATGACTTAATGGCAGGAAGTAGAAATGGTACTTACTTTGGACGAAGAATCACAATATGTGAATGTGTATTTTTATATAATTTTGGTAACTTTCAAGAGTAAAGCTGCAGACTAACAGACCAGATGAAGGTAAGCAACTCACACAAGCTCACTGGGTCAACTTATAGAACACGTCCACACTGTCCTCTCCCTATACAGAGTACATTTAGTACATACAAATGACTAGAATGCCAACTGCTGTGACTTTTTTTCTGATTAAGAAGCACCAAATTCTCTCTAAATATTTTGATGCAAAAATGTTCCCCGCAAAAGAAGAAACCTATCTCTGACTGAGTTATTGAGATGATCCAGTTGTTACTTTGCCTTTGTTAAGAACCAGGTGCACATGACTGCTGCGTCCCGGGCACCTGTGCCGAGTCGGCGTCACCTGCCAGCCGGCAGGGCTGGGGCTTTACTAGCCCCTCCTGCTGGGGGCACTTGATTTCTTGAACCTCAGTTTGAAAATAACAGTGATATTTGCCAACTCTATACCAACTGGGTTAAGAAACTATAATTTTAATACGAGTGATGTCATGAGGAGAGAAAAAGTACCAGATGGAAGCAGAAGGAACTTGTGATCAGTTATGACAACAGTTCACAGTTATGAATCAGTTGAATTTCACCCAATGGAACAAAATACTGATATTTACTGTTGTGCAGAGGGGGTCTCTTACAAATTAAGTCTGCAGGTACCTCTGCTAGGGTCACAGCTCGGCATTTTCTCCCCCCTTTCCTGCCCCACCCCTCTCCTGCCTTCACCCCTTCTCTGGCCCCCACTCTCCTCCCCTACCCCCACCCCCTTCTCCTGCCTCCACCCTCCCCGGCCCCCACCATCTCTCCTTTCTTGTACAGTTGTCCCAGACATGGCTGCCCAAGATGGCCTCTTGGACAATGACCACCACAGGTCTCTGATCATTACAGCTTCGAGTCTGTTCCTCTTAGCTGGGCTTTGCAGGCCTTTCGCCACCTGGCATGCCACAATGGTGCCCGATCCCTCCTGGCATCTCTGAGGGTCCTAGGCCACCTCCACTTCTCAGGCTCACACCTGAGAGCAGCCTGCCCCTCTTTCTGACCACAAAGCATTCCTACTTCCCGATTCTTCAGGCCATTTGTGACCAAACTGGGTGACTTAGTCCCTACCCCCCACCCCCACCTAATCATAGCATTAAAATGCAACTAAGAAAAATTAAATAAATAAAATGCCACTGAGATGTTGCTCATCTCATCAGCCAGACTCATGATGTGGGTTCTATTTGGTCCCAGAGTTTGAGGTGAGGGCACCCCATTTCCTTCTGCCCCTTGGCCCCTCCCGGCACAGGGATGATATTGCGCAAGCAGGACCAGCATCCAAAGTGACTTCTGTAATGGAAAGACTTGGGCTTTGCAGGGAAAGATCTGGAATGCATACAACGTCCCACAGGAGAGTTCCACATCCCCCACTGTGGCATGAATCTAGAGCTGTCTGCCTGTGTTGCCAACACTGGCTCTCAATGGTAAATAACAGGTGACATTTCTTGAAACTTCATTCACTGAATCACTACTGGACAAGTTTATTGCATCCCTTTCCCAGGGCTGTCTTCTTCCTCTCTTAGTCCAACATATTCTGCTAAGAGGAGAAATTACATTTCTTTCTTCAGAACAGCATGGGATCAATAAGTTATGGGAGGAGTGAAATATTTGCCATATTTTGGAGGGTTCTGCCTTGTTACTCACACGATAAACTCAGAGAAGTGAGAGAACATGAAACTGGGCCGTTTCTGGGTGGGGTCATCCGGTTTGGTTACACAAAACTCCATCGCGCGTCCTTCCTCTCGGCTCCCATAACGGGGCCACTCCTGGCCAGCAAGGGCCATGCTCCTGTGCTCGCGATACAGCCCCGGGGTGCCAAGCCACAGACCGCCCTGGACTCCTCCAGCACACGCACTAAGGGACTGTGGCCTCGCTTCTCCATGTGGCTTTCATGAAGCGCCACGGACGCTCACACCTCTCCGTGGCGGCCGACAGCCTCCCCTCAACCACCATGGGCCTCTAGCCAGGCCGCTGATGCTGCAAAAAGAGCTGGGCTCACACTCTCTCTGCTGACCACACCGGGACCACTCTGAGCCCCTTCCTTCCACAGCCTGCACCAGAAATGACTCTCCTGACAGTGAAGGGCGCTCAGAAGGGAAACTTCTTGCAGGAATTGTAAATAACGGCCACAGAAAAAGCAGACACAGGTTCAGAAGTACCCACCGCTCTGTCTTTGGGAGAGCTGCATTTCTGGTGATGGGGCACAGACCACGGAAGGATAAGAGAATGCAGCAGCCTGTACAGTAGAGAGCTCAGGAGGGGGCTTTGGAAGCCTGTAAATCTGGCTTATGGGAGGGTCTGTGCAGAGAAATCGGGCCAAAAGATCTTTATTTCATGACCTTGAGGCAAAGAAACCTCATCAAAGGCTTCCATATTCCTGCCTGCAAGAGCGTGCTGATGTTTATGGAGGTGAGCTCTCTTTATCTCCCTCTTTGCACGCACAAAGATACCCACCCCTCTCCCAACTGGAGGCAGAGAGCACTGTTATAAATATTCATGAGATAATTATTATTAATGTCACCAGGGTGATTGTGTTCCTTCTCGGTGGAGACTGGCTTTTGCAACGAGAAGCCCATCAACCGTGGGAGAAACAGCAGCTTTGGGGCAACCCTGCTGCAGCCACCCTGCGCGCGGAACTTTTGAAATATAGATTATTTGAGGAGGGATTTTAAATCACCCCTGTGCTCCCATCCCATCAGGAAGTTCTGCCAGCAGAGATTTCCAGCCCTGCTACAAAATGCAACATTCTTGACAGCGACTTTCTAGAGTTTGGAGAAAGGTACATTGACTGTTACATTCTTTGCTGAGTCCAAATGAAACAAAATGTAATGATCATAAAACACTCAAGAAATTTTGGGGGTATGATTTTCGTCAAAATGCATTGAGACAGAATTATAACACCTTTTCTACTTTCATTATTAAAAATATACACTCAGCAGGCCTTATTAAAGAATTATTTATAAGAAGTATAGGTTCTTGAAGCCATACAGAACACTTTTTAAAATAATAATAAAACAACAGCTACTGGTGACAATTATATTCTTACGTCTCTAGCCTACACTCCCCAAGCCACTGACCAGTCTGGTGAATGCTGTATCACCTCGTGGGGAAATTACTGTGAACTAGTGTTTCCAATACAAAAAAGTGAATTATTTTCTCTTCCTCATCAGAAATGGATTTTGGTAGCTTCTTGTACTCCTCTGCCATACCAATGTGTGCCTTTCCAGACACTCCAATCCCTGCTAGAGCAGTGGTGAGAGTCACACAGAAACACAGGTGGTGGCATCAGGGGGGCAGGGCACAGGCTCACCTTAGGCATCCGGTGGCATTTCGCAGCACCTGTGAGGAATGCAGCTGTATCTTCCGATCATCCTGAAGCGGTGAGTTTTCCCAGCCCGAGTGCGGGATGATCACTGCGTTAGTCAACACTGCCAGGGTGTCCTGGATGATTGGCATTTTGAGGGCATCGCAGGAGGAGAGGTTCCACAGGACCCCTGCAAGAGACACACGACAGGGCTGTTGGGTGGGCACCCCGAGTCCTCACCACGCTGGCACACAGCCTGGCCGGAAGGCTAAGCATGTGGGCGGTGTCCCGGCCCCTGCTTCCGACACAGGGCGTGTGGCGTGTCCACCTGGGTGAACTGTGGAGGGTAACCCATGCTGAGAAGACCACTGACTGGAGGACACCAGCTAGGCTCCTGTTCTCCAGGAATTCGACGGGCCAGGAAACGCAAGCCTGACCCCAGGTTTGCTCCGCCCACGCAGCCTCCGACTCCCTGGGCTTCCTGTGGGACAAGCCCTACCCAGGACGCTACAGGCAAAATGTGTAGTCAGCTTTTCTCTGAAAGCAAAGGTCAGGGAGGACCGACAGCTGGTTCTTCCTTAAACAGTGAGGAGAGGAACAGAGAGGCACGCGGCGGGAGTGGCAACAGCAGAGCTCAACAGCGAGGAAGGAGACTGAACTCCAATGGAACTTGGGAGACATGAAATGCTTTAGACTGCAAATGTGTTTTTAGAAAAGACTTAACAATAGTATTAATTTCAGAAATGATCATCTGTGTACATATCACCACAGAAAATGTTTTTAAAATTATTATTCTGCTGTTGTTCAAGACAGCACACACAGAGGTCAAACAACAGATTAATTTTCTATTTTCCAGTGAAAGAACTGTGCTTTCCCTCAAGACTAATCTAAACAGACATCATCACTGCAGATGACAGTCAAATATTATAGTTGTCTTTAGAAACACAACTTCCAGAATAACTGGCAAACAAATTTTCAATAAATTTTGAGATGAGATTATGGTTCATCGATTGTGTTGTGAGTAAAATAAGCAGAAGACATTATTCCGGAAACTTATTTTATTAGTTTCTTGCATTATAGATGTCAAACTCTCCAAGGGCATTCATCAGGCTCATCTGAAAGCCGGTGATACTGGATTGTTAATAATTCAAGTTTTAAACCTGTTCTATTAAAGTGTGACACAGAGACAAACTTTTCTGTCTATTGAAATTCCATTTAATGAGAATTTTTTTAAAAGCAAATGCAAAGAAAACAAATTGTGTTGGTGCCCAGTATGTTTAAGTCAACCTTTAGTAAAGTGGGCTGATGGAGGGCAAATCCTGCTAGGCTGTTGTTATAAATAAAGTTTTACTGGAACATAACCACCCCTGTTGATGCCTACATATTAACCATGTGGCTCTTTATAGAAAAATACTGCCTCCTTCAGTTTAAGCACACCAAGCATATTCTATTTGCTTCTGTGTATGTGTGCATTTCCACTAGTATCCTAAATTGAGTCCACAAAATATGCTCAAAGGTACAAAGAAGGCAATGAAAACCCTACTTTGATATGGACTGATTGACTATTAGCATTGTACATACATGTGCCAAGTTTTAAGTAATATACATTGCTGTTTCTTTATTCATTTCATTAAGAAATGTTTCACTCAATTGTGGATAATGTAAACAATCAAAACGATCATTCACTCATTTGTAGTCTGCAAGAACTGTTCTTTTTCCTAGCAAACTAAGGAGCCTTTCATTTTTAAAAGAATATGAAGATGAAATTAATGTCGATACTAGTACGTATGGATGAATCAAAAAAATAAAGTCACATTAGAGAGTTTGTGCCTCTCATTTTCAGTATATTTGTAATATGAGCTTTTTAATTCTCAAATCCTGATTTGAAAATACTTGGGTGACACAATTTGCTGTGAAACACATTGCTCTAAAAACTGGTTAGTAAGAAAAGAGCACAAGGGACTATGGTGATGGTTCAGAGGTAAATACCAGGGAATACACACTGATGTAAAAGATATAGATAAGTTATAACAAAAGAAAAGAAAATGTATCGGAAGATTTAAACTAAAACAACGAAACACAAAATCTTACTAGTAAGAGAAACCTACATCTTTATATGAAACAAAGAATCTAAGGGCATCCTCTTACAAGAAAGTAATTTTCACTATTTTCTAACAAACAGAAAACAAGTAGGAACAGCAGGGGCAACCTGCTAAATTCGAGTAATTTATTATGCAGCTCTAGGAGTTAAATCCTTTCCCTTTCTCCCTGATGGCCTCCCTCCCGCCATGCCCCTTCTTCCCTGGGTCTCAGGACTCGTCAGGGCGGATCCTTCCCTCCACTCACTGACACCTTATAGGTGATAAATGCAAAGATTTATCTAAGTTGCCTCCTCAGACACTCACTGTCAGAGTCCTGTTCTAAGGCATCCTCTCTCATCCATTTGCAAGCACATTTCCTTGTCATTTGCTCTTGTTCTTTTCTCCCTGCCAGGTCAGAGGCTGCAGGTGGAGACACAGACCTCGTCTGAGCACTCACAGACTGTGCATAGCGGGTGCTCCCCAACAGGTGTTACATATAGGCCCCTACAGTTTGCAGGCGCTCCCTGCTCAGAACCCCCTCACGATGGTGCTGGCCACAGGAAGCCATGGTCTGAAATAGCGAAGCAGCAGATAGAGATGTAACATTATCATAAATCCAAAGCGAGTGCAAAGAGGTGACCTCAGTTGGATTCTAACAGTCGTCTCCCAAGAAATTCTATCCTTAGCAGAGAAAAATTGGAATCATTAAATAACATGAATCAATTTAGCATTTGAATGTTCTCTCTAGTACCTCACTTTGGTAATTTTCTTGCATTAACTTCCCAATAATCTTAAATTAGCCAAGGTATACTAAAAATTCAATTCGTGAAAAAACTGTGGAATAAATTGAATTCACAGCGGTCGAGAGCATTTGTAACAAACTGCCCCATTTCTTCTTACCTGAAAGCAACATAAAAATGTTTTAGTATTTTGGTTGATGGCCACTAGCAAATTTTAATTTACCTGATGAAAATATGTTAATTTCTCCCAGATTATAATCTGTAATAAAACTGTTTTATAGCATCTTTTCATTAACTATATGTATTCAATAGCTTCCCTTTATCAGCATAAAATTATTGCTGTTCCAAATATAATTTTGACAGTAGGTTTAGTAGAGGAGATATTTAAATAACTAATTATGTATATTAAATATATTAAAAGATAGTTTATTTTTATTGCAGGCACAGAATGGTTCTTTTCCTTGAGATAATCCATATTCATGAGCAATAATTGGTTTATTAAAATTTCTTTAATAAATTCTTAATTACTTTCATTGGATCCTTACTTTGTTTTAATAGAGGTAATTGTAGGTTTTCTTCCCTGAAGACAGATAAAGACTACCTTGGAAAAAATGCAGATCGGCCAAAAAAGGCATTTTAATAATAGCGATTATTGAGTCACCTGGACCTGTGGCAGTACAGGGTTTCCCTGGGACCCTCATTTCCTTTTAACCCTTAGCCCTTGCCCACATTCCCCGAATAGTGGTGAAGCTCAAACTAAAGGTGAGTAGGCTGATTCATTTTAAACAAATGTTTCAAAGTTTATTTTGAATTAATTAATGAATTAAAATCAATGTAATGAACACACAGAGATTAAACATCTTTCTCATCCATCTTATTCTAAGAGTGAAAATCTGCACCTTTGTGCAAGGGAAATAAAAGAATGGAGGCAAATGCTTATTATCAAAAAAGTTAGGTCGCACTGGGCTGCAGAGGAGAAGAGAGCTTGGGGACTCCCCTTCTTGCCCCTCTCACCCCACCCAGTCACACATTTTGCCGTGCGTGGAGAGAGACTGCTCACAATCTGGAGGCCCCGGACATGCTGGAGGGCGATGTCCTGTGCGTGTGTTTGTGTGTGCAACATGTGTGTCCTTCCCTGTGAGTCTGAGTGTGAGCTGGCGGGTGTGCACGGAAGAGCCATTCATATGTTCACGTGTGCCCAGGTCTTCATGTGGCCAATGTCCACACAGCTCATGTGTGTGCACGTGAATTCTTGGGTAATCACAGAACTTGTCAAAGAAGGGTTCACCTTAATGTCAAAGTCTGCCAAAATTTTGCAATAATCATGGGTCATTCAAAGGAACAATCAACCAGTGGGACACACAAAACCAACAAACTCGGGCGCAGCAAAGGCAAATACAGTCAGCGAAATGCAAGGCAACTCACACAGAGGGAGAAAATCTTTGCAAATCATGTACTTGATGAGAGGTTACTGTCCAAAATACATCGAGAACTCACATAACACAGGAACAAAGACAAACAAAGTTTGTTATAAAAGGGCAGAGCAACTGCCTTTTCCCAAAGCAGCAACTTTTCCCCAAAGGCATCCCAATGACCAGCAGGCACGTGAAAGGGTGCACAACACTTTAATCGTCACGGAAATGCATGTGGAACAATGACTGCCACGCACACCTGTTGTAAGGGCTGTCATCAAGGACACTGGAGGTGAATGTTGGCAGGGGCGGGAAGGAAAGGAGTCTCTTGTGCACTGGTGGTGAAGTTGTAAACTGGGGTGGGCACCATGGAAAATTGTGTGTGGGGGGTTCCCACAGAGTAATAAATAGGTAGCCCACCTGGTGCAGCTATTATATTGCTGGCTATTTTTCTAAAGGAAATGAAATCAGGATATTAAAAAGCTACCACCCACTGCTGCATGAGTCAAAACAGCCAGGTGTAGAAACAAGAAAGGTCCATCGAGGGTAGAGCAGGGAATGCAAACGCGATCTCATGTCATGGGTGGCATTTCGGTCAACGACAGATCATGTGCTATAGTGGAGAGTGGACTGTACCCAAAAGCCCAGGTGTGCACTGGACTATCCATCTGGATTTGTGTATATGCACTTTGGCATTTGCACAAGGACAATCACATAATGGAACACCTCTCAGAACACCCTTGCTAAGCTAAGCATTGCATGCTGTGGAATATTACTCAGTCATGAAAGAAGGAAATCATGACATTTACGACACCACGGATGGACCTTGAGGGTGATATACTGAGATGTCACACAGAGAAGCACAAATATTGTGTAATACACACATGTGGACGTCAAAATCGCAAGCTTGTATAACAGAACTGAATGGTGGTTACCAGGCAGGGGAATTGGGAAAAT